TGTGTGTGTGTGTGTGTGTGTGTGTGTGTGTGTGTGTGTGTGTGTGTGTGTGTGTGTGTGTGTGTGTGTGTGTGTGTGGTGTGTGTGTGTGTGTGTGTGTGTGTGTGTGTGTGTGTGTGTGTGTGTGTGTGTGTGTGTGTGTGTGTGTGTTGTGTGTGTGTGTGTGTGTGTGTGTGTGTGTGTGTGTGTGTGTGTGTGTGTGTGTGTGTGTGTGTGTGTGTGTGTGTGTGTGTGGTCGGTCTTTCACAGTTGTCTTTTCTCTCATGGAAAAGGCTGCCACAAAACATAAATCATGCATTAGGCTTTCTCAGAAGACAACACCATTCCCATTCAGAAGATATCTCGCTGGCTTTCTGCACTCTGAAGATCCCGGGGATAAGAGAGAGACTTAATTATTCCTCCAGGCCAAAAGCTTTCAAGGCCCAGCCCCCCCCACCCCCACCCCCCTGGCAACAACCTCCTTACTAATTATGCAAATACACCCAAAAATGAAAGGGGAATTAAAAAAAAAAGCTTTCATTGGGTGTTATTCTCACCTCTTGCTATCTCCATATTTCATCTCTGTTCATCCTCTTCCCTCCTGGCCATTCCCTTAAGTATTCAGTAGTTTGTAACAGAAAGCATCAGACAATAGCCCCTCCCCTGGTGCGTCTCAAATGAAATGCCACTTATTGTTCCCATGCACAAATGATTACGGCCACTGGGAGAGACATTGTGTGTTTTTGGTGTTATTCTCAGGTGATGGGGGGGTGTGTGTGCACCGTCCACATGGCAGCGCTTTTGTTGTCGGCGGATGGCTGCCCTTGGGTGCTGGCACTAAAACAAAGAAGCATTTTTTTTGGTCCTCCTTTTACTCGGCGAGCAAGTTGACAGATCCATTGGCTTTCTGCTCAGTCGCTGCCAGTCGATTGTCCTGCAGTGATTCAAACTGTGACAGTGATGGGATTCTCAGTGTCGCGCATTGGACTGCTAAGGGAAGTGGGATTAAGTGATTCTCTCTGTGTGTGTGTGTGTGTGTGTGTGTGTGTGTGGGTGTGTGTGTGTGTGTGGTGTGTGTGTGTGTGTGTGTGTGTGTGTGTGTGTGTGTGTGTGTGTGTGTGGTGTGTGTGTGTGTGTGTGTGTGTGTGTGTGTGTGTGGTGTGTGTGTGTGTGTGTGTGTGAATATGGTGTGTGTGTGTATATGGTGTGTGTGTGTATATGGTGTGTGGGAATATGGTGTGTGTGTGGTCTGAGAGAGAGAGAGAGAAGTGGACATGCTGTGTTAGAGGACTCACCCAGACTCCCAAATACTCAGAGAATAACAAGCACACAGCGGGAGGGGGTTGAAGTAGCGCACACACACACACACACACACACACAGACACACACAGACAATGACACAAATGTAACAGTTGAGTTAGTGCAGTAAAGGTCTGAGTGTGTGTGAAGGGCGTGCACTCACACACTTCTGCAGCTGCATCAGCACACTTATGTAAATGTTAGGGTAAATGCTCATTATTAACAAGCAGGTGCATTCTTAGACACTTCTATCTAATGAGTATCGTTTATATTAATGTCATTACTTTTCTCTCTTTTTTTCACCGTTGGCAATTGTCTGAGTCTAAATGCTTTAGAAAACCAAGATAACATTTCTATTTTCCATGTTAAAAATTAGTGAGTGTTTAAACGGGCCCTTTTATTCTCATGTTCAGGTGTATATCAGTATGTAGTGTCTCTACTGTGACATGTCTCCTTGCTTTAATGTTCAAAAAGCTCTTTATGTTTCTCATACTGTCTGTGCTGCAGCACCTCTTTTCACCCTCTGTCTGAAACCAGAGCCCAGTCTGCTCTGATTGGTTAGCTGGCCGGCTCTGTTGTGATTGGTCAACCCCCCGATTTCACTATTGTCAGGAAGTTAACAAAGGAGTCCAATGGGGGCAACATTGGGATTTTAGCCTTTGCAGACCGTTTACATGCACTAAAACCTATATAACACACTTAAAGAAAGGGAAAATGGCTAAAAGCCTCTTTAAAAAAACCTTCCAACTAAACCGTACTAATTTAAAAGTTATGACTTAAAAGTTATGTTATTTCTGAGTTACGACATATCAACTTAGATGATTTGACGATGTTAATAACAGAGTTGTGTGACGCTGAAACAAGCCACGTATTACTTGGTACATTGAAATGAAAGGTCACTTTGTAACTCATTATTATTCAAGGGGATTAACAGAGAACAGTGACAGATGACTTTTTAAACTACCGTTACAAACACCCAGGCCAATTTTCCCCCTGCATTCAGCTCCATTTACATCAGGTCACCCCCCCCCCCCCCCCCCCCCTCCTCCCTCCCCTCAGTAGCACATTGATCCCCTGGGTGCTCCTCATGAGAAACAAACAGCGGGGCCAAGTCTCTCGGCTTTCTAAAGACAAACAAACGTCTCCCTGAGCTCAGTACACAACGCTTTCATGACGCATTGAAGCTGCCCTCCTTTTGATTCAGAGAAACCCCCCCCCCCCACCTCCCAGCTTCCAATTTCAAAATACATATTAAAGACAAAGTCATGCGCCGCATATCAATGTGAGTTTTTTTTAAGCCATGCTTTTCAGAAGCACAGAAAAAGGGGTATTTTTTTATGTTTCCCCCCTCAGCACAGCAAAGTTTTTATCTCTATTTGTGAGGGCACAGCTTGAATTAATCACAGTGTTCTGACACAGGAACGCCATTGTGTTCGCTGCCAAACTCCACTTGGTGTAAGCTGATTAGCCAGGAGCACTTTCTCTCTGCTTTTATACTTCAAACTATGTCTGTGTGGTTTATGAAGTCGCCCTTTATTTTGTTGTTTTGCAAACTTGTTCTTTGGTAACGGGTTCCTGCTGTGTCATGCTTGATACATAAATAAATCTGTTACTGAGGGTTTGGTGCAGAGAGTCGTAACTCACTAACTTTTATCATTTGATTAATACTACATTTATAATACTGTCCTAGCGGCTACAGTTGTGGTCAAAAGTTAACATGCACTTGTAACGAACATGTATTTCATGACAGCCTTGACTTTTCAATAAATTCTACAACTCTTATTGTGATGGAGTGATTGGAGCACCGGAGTACTTTTCCCCGTACTTTTCCCGTTTAGTTCCGATAGTGCCTGGAATTTCGCGTTCACACCAAAAAGAGAACTTAGTTCAGAGAACTTTTACCCCCATTTTTTGTCCCTGCTAGAGAGGTGCTACTATCCTGGGGAGGAAAAAGTACCAATTTCTGATTGGCTGGGCGAATTGCAAACCACGCCCCGTAAAACTGAAAAGTTTTTTGAAGCCGCCATTGTATTTGCTGGCATTAGCATTAGCATTCGCCCCGCGCACCAACGCAGAGAGACTAACTTATGGCAACACAAAAGAAAACATGGGAGCGGTGGAGATGAGGAGGTGTCGGCGTTCTGGCGATTTACTCGGAAGGCTTCAGTAGAAGCTGCTGGGAGTCCCAGCAGCTTCTACTGAAGCCAGTCCCCAACTCCGGGGACTTCCGGCCGGGGACTCCGGGTGGCAGTATACGCCGTGAAGTTGTTTGCGGCCTGCCAGTAAACCCAAAGCAGAAGAAGAAGAAGAAGAAGTGACGTCAGCGGCTTCATTTGCGTAATCTTCCCTCAGGGAACTTATTCCGGTGTGAACGCGATCGGCACTTAGTTCCATGGGGGAACTAAGTGCTGGGAACTAAGTGCTGGGAACTAAGTGCTGGGAACTAAGTACGGCAAAGTGTGAAAGCGGCTTTTGTCAAAAAACAAAAATCATGAAGTTTGGTTCTTTTATGAATTTATAATGGTTCTTCTGAAAATGTGATAAAATCTAATACATGTTCTTTACAAGTGTATGTAAACTTTTGACCACAACTGTACATAAGTTAGAGTTATTTTAACAGACCATTGTCTCATTGTCCTATATCTTAATAATTTCAATGAAATCACGCATGGAATAAAATAGAGCTTTGATCAATTTACATGGCTCTCAATCTGCAGCGTGTGTGTCAGTGTGACGTAAACTCATATTTGATGCATTTTGTAGACGCACAACACGAGTCCTTTGACAGTGATTGTGGTCGTTGTGCGGAGACATCAGCAGCTGTGCTGTGATTCATCATCGATATCCATGTTTGCTCTGAACGGTGAAAATGTGCCTCTTAGTTTCTGTTGGAAATAATCGCTGGGTTTGTTATGTACTCACGACTTAGAAAACATTCAGCAGAACAGCTAAAACAATAGACCTCTAATTGTTCTGCATCAGACACAACTAGACAAGAGAAATAAGAAATGCCATTTTCTGATTCACTTTGAAGACGCATGTATTCGCAATGTCAATTATTTGTGTACTTTTAGTGTAATTAAGTTGGGGAAGCAACAGCGCTCTATGCTAAGTCTCAAATGACCCCTGGTTTCCTGTCAATGTGCTAAATTAGCCAAGTCATTTAGTACATCCATGATTTTGAAATGGTCAATTCTGTGTGACAAAGCTTGATTTGCTTTTTAGGTAATTTGCACATCGTACTGGCTGATTGTGTTCTGGTCATTTGAATATGTGAGTCCTTTTGTCACTAAAATGATGTACCTCTCTGTGTATTATTGTATTATATCAGACAAAACTAGACAAGGGAAAGAGAAGATGCTCTTTGATTCTGAAGGAGAGTCTATTTTATAATATGGGGCCACAGATAGGAGTCAGACGGAAACATTCAAATAACAGCTTCTCTGCACTCTTTCTGCTACGAGAGGCGTTAACAAGGGATGGGCATTCAGGTCATTTCTTCTAACAGTGGAGATGGCATCACAATGGCGCCAGTGATGATGGCTCCTCTCCAACTCGTTTTATGTCAGTGTTTGTTTACATTTCGTTGTGTGCTTTTCACAATTGTATCAGTTGTATTTGTTCTATGTCCTATATGTATGTTGCACTGTTGGAGGAGCCTGTGACCTAAGTCAACAAATGGAAAGATGTGAGGAATAACGACATGATGTTTTCTCCTCCAGGAAACTACCAGCTGTCGCCCACCGTCAACATGCCGCAGGACGACACGGTGATCATCGAGGACGACCGGCCGCCCCTCCTGCCCCCTCCCCTCTCAGACCAATCATCATCCAGCTCCCACGATGATGTGGGCTTCACCGCCGACCTGACGCCGCCCTGGGCCAAAGAGCCGCCTCCTCAGAACAACAGGTGGGCAACAAACTTTCACTTTCCCTTCCTCAGAGTCTTCAATTCAATTCAATATGCTTTATTGGCATGAATGTCAGGTGAACAATATTGCCAAAGTGTCAAGGATAATACAATCCAATAGTGAAATTATAAGAATGAATTCATTAAACAATTTACAACAATATATTATTACAAAACCACAAGTATGAAATGTAAAAATAAACAAAGAAAGAAAACAAAGACACATGAAGTAGAGTGAGCTGTGAGGAGATGAACAGCTGTTATGTGTTGTTGTGCTGGTTGTCTCCTACGCTGTGACATCAGACTAACGTAATGTTAAGATGTACAGGGTGGTGCCGGAATAAGTCTTAAAACTTGGCAATGAATCAGCATTTCTTCACTTTTGTGTCCCTCGTCTTGAAGTCACACACAGTGTTTGGCCAGATGCCTGAAATAAGGTGTGGAGATATTCACATTTTGTCCTAGGACATAAAATGTATTAATTAATCACAGTGTTCTGACACAGGAACGCCATTGTGCTCGCTGCCAAACTCCACTTGGTGTAAGCTGATTAGCCAGGAGCACTTTCTCTCTGCTTTTATACTTCAAACTATGTCTGTGTGGTTTATGAAGTCGCCCTTTATTTTGTTGTTTTGCAAACTTGTTCTTTGGTAACGGGTTCCTGCTGTGTCATGCTTGATACATAAATAAATCTGTTACTGAGGGTTTGGTGCAGAGAGTCGTAACTCACTAACTTTTATCGTATGATTAATACTACATTTATAATACTGTCCTAGCGGCTACAGTTGTGGTCAAAAGTTAACATGCACTTGTAACGAACATGTATTTCATGACAGCCTTGACTTTTCAATAGATTCTACAACTCTTATTGTGATGGAGTGATTGGAGCACCGGAGTACTTTTCCCCGTACTTTTCCCGTTTAGTTCCGAGAGTGCCTGGAATTTCGCGTTCACACCAAAAAGAGAACTTAGTTCATGAGAACTTTTACCCCCATTTTGAGTGCCTGCTAGAGAGGTGGGACTATCCTGGGGAGAAAAAAGTACCAATTTCTGATTGGCTGGGCGAATTGAGTGTTTGGCCAGGTGCCTGAAATAAGGTATGGTAGGGCTGTGCGATTATGGCAAAAATCATAATCACGATTATTTTGGTCAATAATTGATATCACGATTATTAAATACGATTATTCATTGACTTTGAAAACATCCATTTATTGAACTTTAAAACAAATACAAATCATAATTTGAACAGTATCTTTTTAACTGTTGATTTCCCTGAGCGTATAATTCAACTGAAAAACCAATACAAAAAATAAATTAAATAAATGATACATTTATATTTACATTTAAATAAATAATATCAAAATAATAAATACCAATAAACAAGATCAACAAATATTTTGGAGCGCACTTCAACAAGCTACTAAACATATGTAAATATGATAAATACAAATAAATTAAGACTAAAATAAATTAGATCAAATATGTTGCAGTGTCACAACCAAGCAAAGCAAAATAATCGTTTTTTACGATTATGTTGTTTTCGTAATTGTGGCAGGCCAAAATCGTAATTGCGATTAAAATACGATTAATTGCACAGCCCTAAGGTGTGGAGATATTCACATTTTGTTCTAGGACATAACATGTATCAGCCTTTTTAGTGTATGTCATGCCTTTATGTGTCATGAGTCTCAGTGTCTCAATGAAACTGTTGAACATCATCACGCTGAACATTAGCAGTGGTGACAGGAAGTCATGTGACTGATTTATTTATTTTATAACCTAGAGTTAGCGTTTTACTTCTGGATATTACATCTACGCTTCAACCATCATAAAGTGGTTGACCTCCAAAAATACGTTGTCAGTGCAGAACTCTAATCAGGAGATGTTCTGTATAATTATATTAAGGCATGCTTTGCAAACATTTGACGTTTCAAGTTAAGTCTAAGAGCGTGGACAAGCCTAGAATTTCAATAATCACTTAAAAAAAATCCTCTTATTAAAGCTTGTAGTTGTGAAAGAGGTCAGTGTGTGTCCTGTACTGTGTGTGTGTGTGTGTGTGTGTGTGTGTGTGTGTGTGTGTGTGTGTGTGTGTGTGTGTGTGTGTGTGTGTGTGTGTGTGTGTGTGTGTGTGTGTGTGTGTGTGTGTGTGTGTGTGTGTGTGTGTGTGTGTGTGTGTGTGTGTGTGTGTGTGTGTGTGTGTGTGTGTGTGTGTGTGTGTGTGTGTGTGTGTGTGTGTGTGTGTGTGTGTGTGTGTGTGTGTGTGTGTGTGTGTGTGTGTGTGTGTGTGTGTGTGTTCTCTCTCTGATTGGCCCCTGATTGTAGGCAGCTCTCATCCGTACGGCCTCGCAGATGTTACACACACACACACACACACACACACACACACACACACACACACACACACACACACACACACACACTGAGGGCCTGTTGTGTTTCACACTGTGTGTGTGCACCTCAATGTCAGGGGAACACTTTAATAAATGCATCGTATAACACATATGATAAATGTTATATATTTTTTGTAAATTCAGAGTATTATATTATTACAACATGTATATTTTCTACATTTGTAATGCTGTTTTATTTCTATTTGAGATGTTTACATTTTAGAATTGTTTATTTTTACTCTTAATTTCTCTTATGTGCAATGCCTTGTCCTTTATGCTGCTGCGACGCAAACATTTCCCACATTTTGATTAATAAAGTACATCTTATCTTATCTTATCTTAAACACCGGCTACTGTTGCAAGTTAAAGGGGACCTATCATGCAAAATGCACTTTGTGATGTCTTTTATACATAAATGTGTGTCCCCCGGTGTGTCGGGGAACTCACGCAGCGTCAGAAAATAAAACCCTCTCTCTTTTCCTCCGCACCCAAATCTTTTAAAAACGGGGGAACAACGACCGGATACAGATTTGCTGCCGATATGACGTCATTTCGGATGGTGGACCCACAGAAAGTTGCTATCAGAAACAATGCCTGACGTGTTTTTGGACGTAATCTCGTCTTTGTTTACATTAGCATCGCTAACACTCAGAGCTAACCTGTACTGGAGAGCACATGTGTTTAAAAAGCAGGAAATGAACTGACCTTGTGGTAGAAAAAGCATTTGAGCTCCATACTGTTTCAGAAATAATCCTTGATGTGGTTTAGAACAGGATGGCGTTTTATCACAGCAGAATTTAACTTTATTTCCGGTAGAATTCTGATCAGGCATTGGCTCCGCCTCCTCTGGGCTGCAAAACAGGGGTATGATCAGTATGAGGCATGGCTACAATGGGCGATATGTTTGGTATTTTAAGCAAAACACTTCACAGACATGTTTTGTATAGGTATGGCCCTACAATATATGTTTCCAATATAGCATGATAGGTCCCCTTTAAGTGTAATCTGGTCAGTGATGAGAAAGACTTTGGCTCGCATCTCATTCTGTTCCTTGTTTGTTTCACTTTCGTCCCTAGTGTTATCTCTTGTTCCTCTCTGTCCCACACCACCTTCTCTCGTTACTCTCTGTCCCGCACCACCTTCTCTTGTTCCTCTCTGTCCCGCACCACCTTCTCTTGTTCCTCTCTGTCCCGCACCACCTTCTCTTGTTCCTCTCTGTCCCACACCACCTTCTCTTGTTCCTCTCTGTCCCACACCCACCTTCTCTTGTTCCTCTCTGTCCCACACCACCTTCTCTTGTTCCTCTCTGTCCCACACCACCTTCTCTTGTTCCTCTCTGTCCCACACCACCTTCTCTTGTTCCTCTCTGTCCCACACCACCTTCTCTTGTTCCTCTCTGTCCCACACCACCTTCTCTTGTTCCTCTCTGTCCCGCACCACCTTCTCTTGTTCCTCTCTGTCCCGCACCACCTTCTCTTGTTCCTCTCTGTCCCGCACCACCTTCTCTTGTTCCTCTCTGTCCCGCACCACCTTCTCTTGTTCCTCTCTGTCCCGCACCACCTTCTCTTGTTCCTCTCTGTCCCACACCACCTTCTCTTGTTCCTCTCTGTCCCACACCACCTTCTCTTGTTCCTCTCTGTCCCACACCACCTTCTCTTGTTCCTCTCTGTCCCACACCACCTTCTCTTGTTCCTCTCTGTCCCACACCACCTTCTCTTGTTCCTCTCTGTCCCACACCACCTTCTCTTGTTCCTCTCTGTCCCACACCACCTTCTCTTGTTCCTCTCTGTCCCACATCACCTTCTCTTGTTCCTCTCTGTCCCACACCACCTTCTCTTGTTCCTCTCTGTCCCACACCACCTTCTCTTGTTCCTCTCTGTCCCACATCACCTTCTCTTGTTCCTCTCTGTCCCACACCACCTTCTCTTGTTCCTCTCTGTCCCACATCACCTTCTCTTGTTCCTCATGAAGCTTTTTACTTGAACGTTGTTGGTCTATTTCTTTCTGACATCTTTTGGCTTTCTTCTCTCTGAAGCTGTATTCCTCTTTTCTTCCAGCCTCCTCTGATCGCTCTGCTCTTTCCTTTTCTTACTATTCCCCCCCCCATGCTCATTTCCTGTCTCTGACTTTGTTCTTTTTAGCCTCAGTGTCGTATTGCCCCGACACTTCCTTTTCTTTCATTTTGTACTTTTTAAGCCCTCCCGATTCTTCTTTAGATTTCCCTCCATCTCTTTTTTCCTTTTTCAAATGTACGAGTTGAAAGAAAAGACGTTCTTTACTTAAACCCATCATCACCACTTTCTTACTCATGACACCTTTCCTCAGTCTCCATATTTGAGATAAGAATTGCTAGAAAAGTGAGTTATCTACGCTTCTCATCTGTTTGCATGATTTCCTTTTAGAGCTGTGACCATAGACTGGATATATGGCTGTGACACACATTTTCTCCTTTGTGGGATCATTCAAATCTTATCTTATCTTTTCTCCAGCTCTGTGAATCCAGATGAAAACGATCCGGACGGCAGTTTTCAAAGGGAAGGCTTCGGGCGCCAGAGCATGTCGGAGAAACGCACCAAACAGTTTGGAGACGCCGCTCACCTCGAGATCATCAAGACACGCAAGTCCAAGAGCATGGATCTAGGTACAACACTTTGATATAGATATTAATCTCATTACAGGGAGTTACATGTTGTTTCAGAGCAGGGACTGAGGCAGGATGTGAAACCAGTGGTGGATAGTATAGATTGTATACTTAACTAAAATTAGCAATACTAAATTATAAAAACAATACACTGTTACAAGTTAACGCAACATCTTGCAAGAAACAGCGTCTGAAGGCTTCTTAAACATTTAATAAACTATGAATGTGTCATACTCACTTAACAGGAAGAAACTCAGCTTTCAGACAATATTAACCATTTTTAGCAAAACGAAACATAAGGGTAATAACAAAGGCTCTGAATTAGCCCTGAGCGAAAAGATGCTAACACACTTAGCACAGAACTCACGTTTAAATACCCTTATTACTTATGGTATCTGCACAGACAAGATATCGATTAGCAAGCTGAGATTCCACAGGTTCCAGACGTATAAGTATCATCACTGAGCGATCAGAACCCACGGCGAAACGACAACAAACAACAACAAAAGAATTAGCTTTACGGAGCCAAAACAGCTCAAAAGTTGTGTTCAATGGCATTAAAGGCTGAAGGTTAATCCATAGGTTAATCCAATGTGTCCAGCATTATTAATCCTTCTTAGGTAAAAGTAGTATTGGCATAAAGTATATTTAGGTGTGTTATTACACATGTCAGAATAATATATATAAAATGATTGGATTATTATTATGTATGCCTTTGTGTCAATGGTGGAACGGATTTTAATTAGTTTTAGTCACATAATCTGTGATAAACCATGATTAATCACAAGTTTGAAGTACTAGTATCCGTAGTGTAAAACACTGTTATTTGTAGTATAAAAAACGTGTATATACACTTATTGTGAGGGGAGATGAATACAATATATTCGTAAATTGTCTTGATAAGTTAACGAGTTACTTTTGATACTTCTGCTAGATATTTTAACATGAACAAATAAACATATATTCCAATGTTTATTTATTAGTGTACTTTAGATTATAATAGGAATTAGGTAGTTGTACTTAAGTGCAATATTTGAGTAATTTAAATTCCACCACTGGTGAAAACCTCCGCCTGGGTTCAGTCACACATTATCATCACGTGATATCAGCTATAGGAGGTTCAGATATTACAATCTGTGGGTCATTTTGAACTTTCCTATAGCACACCTCAGCTCCTTCAAACTCTGTCAAACCTTTTTAAAAAAACCTCAGATTTCCTGTAACCTTTTCCACACATCCCTGCACATCTCCCCAACACTTCTTCTATGTAAATATATTCCTCCCTTCTGCCTCTGTACGGGAACACCTCTCGCCAAAAAGTGGAGAAGTTCCTCCGAGTTGATTCACCTTGAAATGGCTCCGAACAGTCGCTGATTGCTTTGGCTGCACCAGTCTCTCCGCTCTCACTCTCTATAATCATATCTAATCTTCCCGAGCAGATTGCCGCTCTGTGCCGTGTTGATACCACAACAAAGTCTTGATTGCTATCCTCAGAAACTCTCCTTTCATCCCTCTCCACCTCCACCTCCACCCCCACCCCCTCGTCTCGCATGGCGTCCCGTCCTAATTGAGATGAAGCATTGTGTGATATGTTTGCAGCGCTACCTGGATGTTGCATGAGGAATGTCATTCACTAACTGAAACCCCCAAATGTTTGTACCCCTCCCTTTCTTTCCTTCCACTTCCTTTAACAGTAGCCGACGAGATTAACCTCACCCCTCGTGCCTCCGACTTCACAGGTAAGGACCGCGGAGAGAAAGGTCGAATGGAAAGAACATTACCTTCACTTCCATCCCATCACTTTTTCTTCATATGGTTCATATCTTAAAAGCCTGGGACTGAGGAGTAGAAGTGGTGTTTGATTTTGAGGTTTAATTAAAAGCCCCCAGGGGGTCTGATTTACACAGAAAGTATTGCTGTTTTATGGTTTTATTCCGCATAATATGGTATTATCCAATCACATTCAGCACTTAAACACCGTAACTCATAAAGCAAAGTAGAGAAATTACCGGCACTATAATCGCTCTTATGGCACATTTTGTATTAGCGAGGCTCTATTAAGCTTTTTGGGGTTTTCCCTCTCCTGTAGTGTGTTATAAAGAGCTTTTTGAACATTAAAGCATGCACAGATGTCAGAGTAGAGACACTAAATACCAATATGAACCTGAAAAGGGTCATAAAAGGGCCCCTTTAAGTAGATGTCCACCGTTCATTCAATCATCACAACAGAAGAGTCAAACTTCTCGTTCTTCTGCTGTCTTTTATAAAAGTTCAACATGCTTTTAATAAATTGCAACACCCGAAACAGCATTAAGATTGTTCACAGTCAAAAGGGAACTAGCTTCTGAAAGGCTTTTCACTTTAAAAAAAAAACCTCTGCAGGAAGTTTAGAGTTTGATTAAAAGTCACTAAACGGTAATCAACAGACTGCCAAAGTAGCACCGATCAGAATTAATGAGTGCATGAGAGTAGTACTTAAAAATAATCACTTTTGATTGATTTTACAGCCAACTAGTGAACATGGAGAAAGTCACATTTGCATTAACATTGAGAGGCTTTTACAGCATATTCAAAACATGAGCAGATCAGAATAAAGTGTGGACTTTTAACGAGAAAATTAAATCCCAAAATCGGGGAAATTGGAAAATAAACACTGTCTTCAATTTAGACCTATTTGCTATATATATTACTGCGTGTATTTTAAGTCAATCTGCGGACAATCTCTGCAAAACATTCCTCAATTTCTTACTTAATTACTCTTTTTGTCTTAAGCACCTTTCAATCAAAAGTGCACACAGTTAAAGGGGACCTATCATGCAAAATGCACTTTTGTACGTCTTTTCTACATGAATATGTGTCCCCGGTGTTCCAGGGAACTCACCAAGTGTCAGAAAACACAACCCTCTCTATTTTCCTCCGTACCCAAATCTCTAAAAAAGGGGCTGCAACGGATCTGATAAAAACTGATCCAGATTTGAACACTGTCCTGACGTCAGGACGGTGGCGCTACGGCTATTGGGCCAACTCCACCAATCAGGAGGAGACAGCCACGGCCATTGCCGTTCGAAAGCGTTGGAGACGCTGTAGTACATATGCCAGGCCTGTAGGTGGTGCTGTTCTCACTGAATCAGTCCTTGCAAAAACAGGGGTAAAATAGTGCGAAATGAGGCATGGCTAAAATGCATGATCTGTTTGGTATTTTGAAAAAAAAAAAGTATAAATATGCCTTATATAGGTATGGTCCTACACTATATTATTCAAATATAGCATGATAGGTCCACTTTAAACAACCGCTTTTTATACAGATTTGGGAAACAAACTTAGTCCAAACCCAACCTAAACCCCTCTGTCCTCTGTTCATATCATCCCAGATCTTCCATCGCAGTCTTTCTTCGTTGGTTGTTTATGTATTTAATGACGCATTATGAGCTGTGGTGAGCACTTGTTGCTGCGGAGGTGAGTCAGAGTGAGAGCAGATCTATAAATGAAGTGAAGCCTGTCTCTGAGGATCGATGATCAGCAGGAAGTGACACAGATGCTACAGGAACAACAGGGACATGTATGAAATTGCACATTGATCGATCTACAGATGCAAATTGAGTGGCTAACTTGCAGATGGTGTTTCAGGGAAGTTTCCCCCGCTCTTTGTGGGCTGTATTTTCTGTTCTCTGTGTTTCTGCTCGATCCTGACAACACACATTTGTCAGAGCCACAGTCTGAGGTCGCTGCTGAACACTGAGAGCAGGCCGCTGACTACAGATGGGATTTTGTTCCTTTTTGCTGTAGCTCTAATTGTTTTGTGTGTGTATGTGTGTGTCGGGATTGTACATCTGTGTGTGTAGGGAGAGGGACAGCAGGAAAAAAAAGCACTGTGTCCTTGGTTAAGGCAGCGCGCTGACAGAGAGTCATCTGTCTTTGTCAAAGTCATGTACGTTTACACATCGCCTCAGTAGAAAGACTTCTTCTGGACGTGAAAAGGACGTGTAGACACGGAGAAATTAAAGGTTTAGTGTCTCGGTAACTTGTAGGTTTGGATGTGAACTATCACTCCGTTATAAAATGTGACGACAGAAACGCAGAGGAAATCCACCAAGTCATCATCGCTAAGTGACACAATAGGTAGTTTGTCAGTGTATTTCAAGATAAAAGCATATGACGGTTAGAAAACTCATTCATATGAGCAATTTCTGCATAATCTGCAATATTCTGACCACTTATTCAGACCTGTAATGACTTCCTTTCCGTCTGACACTTCATAGCATCTAGTTCAGGGGTGTCAAACTCAAGGCCCGGGGGCCAAATCCGGCCCGCGACTTCATTTAATGCGGCCCCACAAGAGCTCTGAAAGAATATAATACGTTTATTATACGGTTACATGCCGATTTACAGAAGCACGTTGCCCATTAACTACATGTCCCACAATGCATTTCAAATATGACTTTTTTTCAGAATTTGACTTTTCTTCAAAATTTGACTTTTTTTTACATTTTCAATTTTTTCTCCAGAATTTGGCTTTTAAAAAATAATAATTTTGTGACATTCTCACTGAAGAGACTTCCAATGATTTGCCCTAGACTTCTGCTTTCAGACGTAGTTAATTATGAAGTTATTACCCTATCCGATAATGATCCAATGCAGAGGCAATAATCTCATATAATACATACGTTTATATTAAATATTTACATATGTATTTTCATATAGTCTTAAAGTTACAACCGGCCCTTTGAGTGCAACCAAAATGCTGATGTGGCCCGTGATGAAATTGAGTTTGACACCCCTGATCTAGTTGAATCATCAAACTCTTGAAAAAATATGCACTTTCCTTATATGTGTATCATAAAATGTTGCTTCTGATAGCAACAACGTGAAAAGGACGTGCAGAGACGGAGACATGAGAGGTTTAGTGGTTTAGGTTGTGAACTCTCACTCTGTAGTAAAATGTGATATACATTTCATGTTACTTGTTAGACGCTTTTATCCAAAGCGACTTACATACTCAGTACTGTGGGCAATCCCCACAGGAGCAATTTGGGGTGAAGTGTCTCAGGGACACAACGACATGCTGACTGCAGTGGGGTTTGAACCTGTGACGATAGAAACTAAGAGGAAGTGTTGTGGAAAATCTGAAAACTGTATTTATCCAGCGAGACATGATAGGGTTTCATGATAGTGGCTCTGTTTTAAAATATAATGAAGTCAAATAAGAGAGGAATACATACGAAGATTAAATAGAAATATGTATATTAACAGCTAGAAGATAGAAGTTGAAGAAGGACTGTGCAATACGAAAATAAAATAAAATTGTAATGTTATTAAAGCATGTAAGGTTTAAGTAAATGTCCAATAAAAGAGAATAATAATAAAATAAACATATTTATAGAAACGTAAGAAGTACAATTTGAAATGTGCAATAAAATGATCAAATCAAACGAAATAAAGTCATTGATATTAAAATAAGTAAAAATATGCACATGATATATTATGATAGGTTTATTGCAATGTGTACAGTGTTAGCTAGTATTATAAGTATTGAATACAAAATATTCTATCAAAGATCAAATAAACAAAAAATAAGAAGTTTATTAAACACAATAAAGTGATTAACATAAACGTAAGAATTTAAAGTACAAATGTACACATTGTAATTCAATATAGAAAAAGTATATGTTTATTAAAATGTATACAGTGTTGTTTGTAGTACGATATATAAAATAATTTGGTTTGCTGCTGATGGTGAAGTCTCAGTGACTGACGCACAATACTCTGACTGACTTACATTAGTTTGGTTATTCTGTTTTGTTGAAGAGTGTGTGGGCAGCCGTGAGATGGAGAAGAGATTATTTCCAACTTTCTGTCACATTATGATATCATGAGTCGGCAAAGGATGAGATTGTGTGTTGCATATTTTATAAAGTATATCTGCCAAATGGAGGCAACAGATGAGTCAGCTGTTTGTTTGCATAATGTCACAACACTTAGGAAAAGTTAACAACTCAGCAGGCAAAAGAAATCCTGAAATCCACCCAGTCATCATACCTAATACCCCTTTCACACCAAGGCTTTTCCCGTTCTAGCTCCGTGCTAGAGCTTTTCTGGTTCAGAACCGGTTCTTCGGTTCAGCTCCCGCTCTGTTCACACCGCTCAGAGCCCGACTGGTGCTGCCGCGTCATGACGTCACCGTTTACGTCGCTGAGTTTCTCCCCAACGGAGCTCACCTCACAACAACGGGCCGGGGACTGCGTCGGGTCGATGATCGTGTTGCTTTTAATCATACGAAGCCAGATTAAATTAAATAACGACTTCTCCAACCTTATACTTTTCTCCAGAGTGCCGTGGTTCATTGTTTATTAATGTGTTTCATTTAGCGACCGCTGCAGTGGCTGCACTTCCACGGGAGTTTATTCTCCCGTTAGCTCCGGGTTAGCTCACACGGCTCTAAAGTATTCACTGTCTGACTGTCACACAAGCAGCTGATACATATCCCCAGTTCCCCTTAAGTGAATGTGTGTCAGTCTGAATTGACGCTGTTTGGCATCACAACGCTGTTATGAAAGTTTCTCTGGTATAACATGGGTGATGTTAGCATAGCAACCGAAGCTAAACTGACTACTTGCTAAGCCGTTTTCTACAGGCACATTTTACCGGCGTATTTTTCATTATGATTCTACTTGTGATAGTCGGACATGACAACCTGTGCAGCCCATGTATTGATTCCATCCGATAGCTGCTATAATAACAA